TGTATCGATTCTTTTAGTTTGGAATATGTTTTCAAGCAAAAATCTATCAAAAAATTGCGTTGCTATTGTTATGTGACGATTTTTTTATTATTGCTAGTCAAACACAAAGCGTATCCAACGACAAGCAATAATCTGTCACTTCGCAGAAGATCCTTGGCTGCTTTGTTTAGATTTTTAAGTTGCTAAGAACTAACACTCTTCTAATGCAGCAAAACAGAATATGCTAAAAAAAAAGTAATGTCACTTTTGATAATTGTACAAAAACAAATGATGACCATTTTACCTACTAAGAATCAACAGCACTAAGATCTTCTCTTAGCGATTGATGAAGAATTTGCGTAATAAGATCAAACTTAATTGCAACATGAGTGATAATCACCTTATGCTTCCCAAATGGTATTCCAAAAAAATTTTTTTGGAATGAAAAGGAAACTTTCAAACGCTAGGCGTCTCATTCAAAAATCGATTACGAACCAATCTTTTTCTATTGAATCATTCAGTAACAGAGATTACTTGTTGTATCAAACTTTTCTAAAAGCGACATAGTCTTCAGCTATGTAGTCTAGTGCATTTTTAGCTGAAATGAAGCAGATACTCATGTTTTGTTGAAAAGGCACCGAGAACGCCTTATTCTTATCATTCGTAATCAGTTTTCTACGGGGATCATTTTTGGGGAACATAAAGTGTTAACTTTATTTTTTCCTTTCGATCTCCCTTTGAATAGAATGCGCAAAAACTTTGTACTATAGATAAAATTTCCGTTTGTTGCGCTTTTTGCTGTTTTCCACACGTAGGTTTCATTATTTGCCTTCCTACGCCTCCCCTTCTTTTATAACTGTATTTCTGACTTATACTTTCACTAGTTTGGTTATGTAGGTTCTTGTAAGGAATTCAAGCATGCTCCTTTATTCGCCGTATATCGACCATCTCGCTACATGCGCAACTCTAACTTTCTTCAGATCTATCAATAAGAAGATTTTGAATAACGTTGATAGACTACAGTTCGCGTTGCCCATTTTAGGCTTTGAAGAAGGCGATCTATCGAAACATTAGCAATAAAGTGAATGGAAATTTCGCGCATGGGTCTACGATAGACATCATGTCAATACTTATTGAGAGTTAAAGGATTTACCTATCAGTAAAAATGACTTCAATTCGCTCCTAATGTCAGTTAACAAAACATCATGGAACAGAATGTTCCAACGTTGTTTGAACTTTGTGCAAAGACGATGATAATCTACTTGCTGCTCTATTCAAACACCTCTGAAAAGTTCGCATGATTATTTTCGGCCTTATATTCGAAATCCTTTCCAAGGATTTTCCTAGTGAAAGGAAATTGTGTAAAGCTTAATCCTCTTTCCAGGTACCTGATCGAATGAGCGTCGCCGATCTTCGACGTCAAATCACCTCGAGATTGGAGATGAAGACGCCAGTATCATCCTCTCACCCTTCGCGCACTGAGTGTAAGAAGATTTGTCTTCTAAACATTCAAATAAAATCTGACACATTCCAATGCATGTAAAAAATCTATTACTCTCACACTTCTTTTGGGGCATAATACCGCAGTCGTAAACGCAATCCTTTTGCACTGTCGGATATTTGCTCAAGCCATTTAGGGATTAAAAAGGTATTACTTGACAGTGGATAATGACAATCATTTATTTTTCTGGAAGTAATCTGATAGTCTGCCGACTACTCGTACGCGCATTAGTATGCTTTGCGCACGCGGTATAGGATATCTGTGCCCAAACACATCTCGTTACTCTATATCACCCCATAAATTTGCGGATCTGTTGCAATTGCATGCTTCAAAGATTCCCTTTCAGCTACAAATTCACCTCTTCCTGTACGACAATTCTCCAACAGTTGTGTAAAAGTGCATGAAGGTATGGATCAAGAAAATCAAAAACCATATTTTGGAAGAGTCGTAGATGGACCAATTCCTGCGGATAAGTACTTTCAAGGGGTAAGTTGAACCATAGTCTTCATAACTAATAGTTTTTTTTCATAATTAAATGATTCCAGTAATCTGAATATTATCGCCTACCTAAATCTACCCACTCATCATAAAGGATATGCTTTATATTTACACTTTAAAAAAGCATTCAATTAATAATGTTTTGTCCAAGAATTGAGCCTAATATCTATACTCAGTACTTGATTTCAGGTATTGCCCCCAAGTGCAATGTACTGCTCGTCTCCTGTTCAACAACCCGCTCCTGGAGCGAAACCTCCTCCACCAGCAAAGGTTACGAAAAGAAACTCATTCTTAAATCGCATAGCCCAAGAATCTTCGTCTATGGACGTTCCATCTCCCACTTCTCAGCTAGAAATGGCTAACGAAATTCACCCTAATCTTCCTGAGCAAAACTCCACTACAGCGTTTCTGCCAAAATCAGAAGAG